AGTAGACCCCCTGGTCCAAATGTAATCTCAATCGTTAACTCAAAAACATCCCAACAAAATACTTGGCTAATACCACAATCACATAATCATTAAACAATTCTCAACTTGTTAATTTGTAATTACCATAAAACAAAGTTTAGATACGTATACAAATTTAGAGATAGGAGAGTTAAGGATAAGTGCCTAGAGCGTTTCTATTTACCCCAAATACTAAAGAGTAGCATCTTTAGAATCAACAAATTATGCTAATTTATGGATCTACACGGGTAAAGATAGCTTATGGCCCAATCCGTATAAATGATCTTTAAACGGATGTTAACTAATCAAAGTCATTGCATTTTCGGCAAAATGTTCCAAATTTTGAGCTACATTTCCAAAACAATAAAACAAAATCTCTACAATAAAAAAAATATTGGATCTATTATTATAGTCTTTAATATACATGTGCAATAAACACAAATTAGAGAACAAACTGCTGAACGCGGTCGTACAAGAACAATCCTCATAATTTTGTAGACCACATAACCCATACTCGAAAACCGACACAATTTTACACAGACAGTTATTCAAATATATGTATAAAAAAGAGCGTTTGTTGTTGGCGAAAACGTAATAAACATATCGAGCTGTTAAGTTTTCACGTTTGTTACAGATAGGAAATGAAACTATTTTTCCGGATTTAAGTCGCGTATATTTGTTTTTTCAACGTTTCGGGCCCTTTACTAATCCCATGGTCACGGTTGACTGAGGTGGTACAATCATCAACCAGTTATGTATGTGTAAGAGCGACTTGAAGCCTTAACTCATAATCTTAAGAGTGTAGCACTATAGTATCTCTGTCGATAAAACAGACAAACAAATTAGTTTAAATGATTCAAAAAGAGATACGCTATGAGGCACCAAATCCAAATAGCGGAAAGCGGAAATAAATAAATTTGACAGGTATAAAATCTTGAGAACCTTTACAAGAAATACCTACGATGGGTGTTCCTCTTACCCCATCTCTTGAGGGAAGAGAAACGTTAGCACAATTTCCACATTTTCATTATATCGTAAGTATTGAATTTAATATTATGATTGTCAAAACATGTAAGGCTGTTAAACACAGGCAAGTTTGTAATACTTAATCTGTTCTTCCTAGAGCTCAAAGGATTCGAGTCAAAATAAAGTATGTTCCACCCCAACCGACTATACATAAAGTAATTTTCTCTTGACTGTATTTATTGAAGTGAAAACTTCAAATATTCAACTGGTGCCTTATTATCCAGTGTTTCCCAGATCTATTCCAGGCGTGTCTGCCTGTCATAAAATATCCCTTTCATCTTTTCAAAGTACCTTAACGTAACACATTTTCCAGCTTGCCATTTCGACAATGACATGTCTTACAGCAACAATGACATTAATGTCGTTGTGAGTGACGTCGAAATTAATGGGATAGTTGCAAAAGGGAAAACACAAAGTAAATTTATTTGTAATATCCAGACGGTAAGTTTAAAATGATTTCTCTTGCGTCAGAAAATAGCATGTGAAGACACGCAATCTTTTCTTGCTTGCTTGTTTGACGTGCCCTTGACCCTGTACTTATTTTAGTTACAGTATATTCACCTAAATTTCAGATAATACCTCTCTCTGAAATCCCGTTACGATTCAAAAATAAAAGATATAAAATCAAAAAAAAATTGTCATAATTTTAGTTACACGTACAAGTTTCTTTTTTTAGAATACGGTATTAAAGAAATTGCTAGTTACACATCAAAAATATACAACAAAATAAAATAAAAAACAAAGAAGATAATTTCTTAATTTCAGATTTTATTATAGTATAATAGCCAATTAGGTAACTAGGTGTAACTCCATACAAAGTAGCAGCACAGTTGTATATGTGCACGCCCGCCGCGAACTTTGTACGGACACACACATTCGCATGATCTCGCGGTGCACTCACGTTGCAAGCTTTGTCGCATTTTGAGTTAAATAGATACCTTTTAATTACTTATCACAATATTATGATGACGTTTGTATATACGTATAGAGATTCTAATTTTGCCTTCAGTAATAATAGTACACACATCATTGTCTAGGGATCAAGCACGTTTTAGCCAATTACTGAAGATCAGGATTTTTAATTCAATTTTTTTAACACCGAAAGATTGTTTATGGTCAATTTTATAATTTGAACTTGACAATTAAATTGATCAAAATAAATCCATCGGTGTTAAAAAAACTCATTAAAGAAACTGGATTTTTGGTAATTAACAAAAATGTGTTTGATCCCTAGACTATTTGATGTGTGTATAATCTTAAATCCCTATACAGGGTGATAAAGAAACCAATGACCATTTAAAAGGAGCATACTGCATAGTGGAAATAAAAAATGCATGTTCGGTTTTTTTTTTCAAATACTTAACAAATAAATAAGTTATGACGTCTCAAAGTTTTTCGAAGAATTGTGAACAATATTGACACCCGATAATTAGCAGACGCCGTTGCTATAGCAACGACAACGGTGTGGGGCCAGTGGACGGAGTCAGCGCGCGAATTCATGTATTTAACAGACAACAAAGTATTAAACTAACGCGCGATGCGTTAGCGCAGGTCTGGCACCTAGACAACTCGGCGCCAATCGCTCAATTTTATTTACTATTTTGAGGTAACCACGCGTTAGAAATTATTGGGAAATGTGAACACCAAAAAATGGGGATTTTTTTTTGTTTTATTTCACTAATGTGTTCTATTACTGAATCTTATGCACAGGAAAAAAATGGTCAGTGATTTTTTATCACCCTGTATTTTATGTTACAATACTATCGTAATAGCATTGCTATATCAAATAGTAGACGTGTTTAATGTTGCCTTTGTGATGGTTTGAACAAGAGTAACACAAATTCAGAATACTTCAGCATTTAATTTCTATTTCATAAATAATCAAGTTCCCATAGTCGAGATACAAATCCGCGATCCTGGTATAAAAATAGCAATACACAAGTATTGTATTTAACAGAGGTTTTTCGATATAGCACGAAAACACTGTTATGGACAGTTTTTTATTAATTACGGTTACAACCTGTAGGTACATCTGAATTAATAATGTGACAACCCTAAGCTCCGAACGAAGTGTCAACATTGATGCGCCGAACATATGGGAGTTGCCTGCCTGTCCTATTATACTATAGTATTAATCACTCCATGATATTATTGTGATCTCTAGTAAATAACACAAAGGCTGATGTTAATAGATCTTATTACATATTTCATGGTCTAGAAGTAGGTAATTTGTCTGTAAATACAGTGGCTTTTTTGTAAAATTGCAACTAAACTTTCAACAAAATCGTTCAAGGAAAACGAAGTCCTTCTATGGGTGAAGGATAATCAACGATTATTCAGTATACCCCTTACAAAAATTAATGTATCACAATATAATCCTCTGCACAGCATCCTGTACAGAGAATATTTTCTTTTTTTTATTTGAGGATAATTTTTTGTAAGGGGTATACTGAATACCCACACATCTGTGGGTATTACAACGAAATATGTAGTAATTGTATTATCCTTAACTGCGGTTTCCCTTTAAAGATGTCACTTCTTGCATTGTTGTATTTTTTTAATAAAGTCAAGTGACGGGACGAAGAAGTCGTGCGCCGGATGGTAAGCCACACGCCTGTCCATAACAGTTGCAGTGACACTCAGAGCTTCAAATCGCAAAGATCTGAGCGGCACTGCCACCCCTAAGACATAACTTGGCAAGTCCCATGTGCCTGTAATTTCACCAGCAGTATAACGTATTCTTTTTTTTTTTCTTTTCTGATAATCAGTTTAGCGTCCATTTTTGCTCAGGCTATATAGATGCGGTACAGCGGGAAAAGTGGTCTGGGGGCGGACATCAGTGCCACACAGCAACCCCACGCGTAGTTCGCGGCGGGACAACAGTGTGAAGGTAGCCGGTGTGACACTCATAAGCAACAACGTTTCATTTTCTACTTAGATTTTAAAAGAAGCGCCATATGGTTGTCGGATTGTGTTAAAAAAAAATCTGTTTCATTCGCGTTACGGAACCAACCCAAAAGAAATTTCGGTCGAATTCATACTGAAACTTAATAAAAGCAGACTCAAGAGTTGTAAAAAAAATACGTGCAATCACTCTAAAGCCCCGCTGCTGCCGCGCTATGCGGATAGTTGCATAGAGCTCACTGGACCTTTGCGCCCGCAACCGCCTCGCGTTCGCCCCGTACTCGACTCGGGCCTGTTTGTCATACCGTCCGCCCCCGGCCCGTAATAATTGCATGGCACAGATATGTTAATTGTATTAATTTTTAATTGTATCGAGTTCTTAAGTTTTCAACCGTGACCATGGGACCTGTAAAGTGCTCGAAACGTTGGTTTGTGTGAAATGTTTTTTTTATTGTTTGTGTGTGATGTCTGCTATTGTGCCACAAATAAGAAATTAAAATTAATCTTTTGGATTTATAAATTTCCAGACTTTATCTGTATATCTGTGGCATCGTAGCTCTCAAACAAATGGACTGATCTCAACGCGGTTTTCTTTTATTTGAAGCGTGGTTCAATCGGAATGGTTCTCCGCTCACGCGATGCGCTCCTCCTACTGCAAAATGGCGGCTATTTGGTTTCGCATATTAGAAAAGCATTCAGTTTAAATACAAGTTTTTATAAATAAAAATTATTATTCTGCATTGCTAAATAAATACCCTCCGTACTACCAACAAAAACATCTCAAATAAAATGCAGTAATACACCGCAAATCCTGCACGTAAAAAGCACTATTGAATTTTTTGTGTACTTGGATAAATATGATAATATTCCGTTTGAGTGGTTCTAACGTTTATCATGAAATTACTCCTTAAAGTATAGTTTATAAACATTTATATTCAGAGTAAACTTAAAAATCGCTACTTACGGTATGTTTTCAATAAATAAACACCGAAATCACCAGTCCAAACAAAGACACACACGATTGTCGTGACGTATTTTTGAAGTTGTTAATTTTTTTAAATGACAGACGCAGGCATTAAAAACTTTATGGTTTGCTAGAGTAGTTGTCGAAATAGCAATTAATATTAGTTCTTTTACCTGTTATAACTTCGATATCCGATATATCGATATAAAACCATCGCCGGCACCTCTAGGTGTGGTATGCGTCTACGGCTGCATGTATCACGTGAGCGGTTAACTATGTTTTGATGACCATCTGTCCAGGTGTTCAAACATCATCAGCTCTTCTCCAAGTTAGTGTAGAGATCACAACCACAAAATGTGTTGGGGAATTTTTAAGTTTTTATTTATATGCACTTACTTCAAAAGTTAGATTCTTATAAACAGTGTTTAATGTTAAACGATTGCCTGAATAACCGTATGTATTACTTTAAAAATGAAATTCAAAAGGACCAAAATACATAACAAACTTTGTACTATGTACCGTAATCATTGTCTCGACCTCGAGTCACGGGAAACTGAAAATAGTTGCGTCAACAAAAGCCAGGGTTCGTGTGTTCGATGACACATCTCTTGCAGAATTTCTTCACTGCCCTATACCCCCTAAGGGTAACAGGAGTGTCTTGAATGTTCAACTGGGTGAGACCTCGGCAATAGTAAGCAACGGCTTCAAGGCCATCGTCGCCAATAAGCTCGCAGCCACGTAAAGCCAGCTTCTTCAAATTCGGACAGCATCGCGCCAATATCTGAAATTCGATCCCACTGTTAACACGTAACCCTCTCCCCGGTACCCGTACCCACTGCATGTGATAGTGTTTCTATGATACAGTCAAGCATAGTACACTCAACATAAAATATGCTTTACTCGCACAGAGACCATTTACACAAACATTCACGTAGTCAAAACAATTATTTAGATACCAAACATTAAATTTGATAAACGAGGTTTGCTGTAACATTGTTATATTCCACGAACGTGCACGATGTGCGGCGCAAAATGAAAATAAACAGATGCAAGCGTTTGTGGTAATTGAAATAGTTTTAACATAACAAAATTTAATGTGCAACCGCAAATTGGCAAGCAATGTGATTAGTTATAAAATACACGGCTTTTCGCTTTTGCATTTTCACCAAAAGAATGCGCTCGGCGGAACTACATAGTTAATTACAATGTGAATTCGCTAGCTAGAAATGCGATGCATGAGGAAATTCAATACAAAATGCTCTGAATATTAATATGTATATAGAACTACCTACACAAACATAAGATTTGCATTTACGTGTCACACACATAGGAGTAAATGTGCCGACTCAACAATGTATGTTTACAAAGTTTGTTCAATCTTAAACTCAAATAATCTTTATGCCATAGGTAAGCAAATTACACTTGAAATCGTCATATTAAACTTTACTATTCATTCGTAAGGCAGATTCCCCTAAGAAGAATGATTAAGACACTGTAAGGGTTGCTCTTTGTTAATAAATATTTGAACACGTATCATTTACAATATTCATTTTAAATACTCAATTAGAACTTAAGGAGCTACATGAAGAACTGACGCAAGTGCATTTTGTTTGCAAGGAGATGTGCTGTGGTATTGAAACTGACCTGTAGACCTGCTTCGGAGACATCTGTAGCGCCAAGGTCCAGAGCTCGTAACCTCGAGCATCCCCGAGCTATGGCTTCCACGCCATCGTCACCTAAAGCACCGCACCCTCGAGCGTTCAGGTAACGCAGTTTATAGCATCGACGCAATGTCCTTATACCAGAGTCCGATACCTGAACAAATAAAACATAGTCCAGTCAGGTCGAAGGAATATTGTCTTTGTCTGTGTTCCATCTTTGTGTCAATAATAATAACATAGTAGTGGAATAATTTCACAAAAAAATATATTCTTTTTTTAATAGTTTATTGCACAGGAAAAACACAAAATACCTTAAACAAGTAAACACAAACAATAACATCAGTACAGAGTATTAAAAAACCGACCTCAAAAGTTCGTGGAATGAAAATGTATTTGCCAAATTTTATTGAAATTGGTTACCGTTTGCCACCCTTAGAAGTGCATTCATTTTCTTCAAATTTAAATGGGACCACTACTACTAAGGTACCCTTTTTTCAATAAAAAAAAGAATCATCAAAATCGGTTAACCAATACCGGAGTTATCGTGTAACATACATACAAAAATATATCGTATAGTCGAATTGAAAATCTCTTCCTTTTTTGAAGTCGGTTTTTAAGAAAAAATTCTATAAGACTAAATACAGGACACAATAACTAAAATAACGAGTTTTCTTGCACAACAATACAATAATTATGTAAAACAAAAACAACAATATCAATAACATTAAATTATTATAAAGTAAATACTTAGGATGAATATTTATTTCACGATGTGTAAAACCTATCAAATGGATGGAATAGTGGATAAATAATGCTCCTTAATTCTGTTTTGTTGTTTTAAAATTTTGAATATGTTATGTAGCCAGTGATTTACTGTTGTGAACAGTAATAGAGAGGGCGTTCCAAAGTCTGACCGCACGAACAGTGAAAGAATGAGAATACAAACCGGAATTGAAGGATGGAAAAGATAATTGGAACATAACAAGAGAGCGACAGGGCTTATTTTTTTAATGTAAAGTAGGAGGCAAACGAGCAGACGAGCCACTTGATGGGAGGTGGTCATCGTCGCCCATGGACATTTGCAACATCAGATAAGCTGCCAATGCGTTGCCAGCCTTTGAGAGCCCTGTAAACACGCTTTTTGAAGAACCCCATGTTATAGCGTAAAATAAATGCTTCAGGAGAAAGATCATTCCATATCTTGCAGGTTCGAGGAAGGAACGAACGAGAGGCTCGCGTGGTCGTACAATGCCAAGCATCTGATATGTAGGGATGGACTCTACTCCTTTGGCGGGAGGTGCGATGGTAGAAACGAAACGGTGGCAATAGTTCGAAAAATTCCTCAGAGCACTCCCTATTATAAAGACGGTAGAACACACACAGAGAGCTAACGTCTGTCCGTAGGCTAAGGGGCCATTATCCTGAGACCTGAGAAAGCTGAAATTTTTTTTCAGATATTCGGGTGTGTAATTGAATATCGTCGCAGTAAAAACATCATATTCAATAAAAAATATTACAATGAATATAGCGACATCTAAGTCACTCTTCTGGTAGCTGTAAGGGTACCTGGTTGCGTGAAGAAACTTCCATACTTTATCACAGGTGGCACTACGGTAAAAAAAGCTTTTTTAGAGAAATTTGAAGATCTGTTGGTTCGATCCATTTGGTCAAAGCGGCGCCGAGGCAACAGACACTGGTTCCGGTCCAATGGGATCAAAGGAATTTTTCTTTGTGTTTCTTCCGATCTTTGTATCAATAATAAGTGGGGTATTTTCACAAAAAAAAAAAAAAGAAATTAATATCATGGCAGTAAAAAGTCACGATATTCAAGAAAAATAAAACATTTCTTTAAAGTCCTTTGCACGAGGTTTATCTGCATGACATAGATACATATATCATATGAACTCCATTATCGCAAACGAGTATCGCTGCTGGCATTTTTTTACTACGCCGAACTTCTAAAGTAATAGAAAATAATTTAAGGCTGGTCACCGGAAAGGAAGCGAAACGAACTGCTTCGCAAGATCAAATGGTTTAGGTATTAATTAACGACCATACAAAAAATCTACGATACACCTAAGGTCTAAATAATATGCTAATATTTTACACGATAGGATCTACTTTATCCGATCATAAAGGCCTGAAAACAGGCTAAAATAAAAATCTAAAACGAATTATGTAAAAATAAAATATCTAACTTTGTATATAATTTTTATATGGAGATACTTAGAATAAATAATAACGCATAGAAACCTAGTCCGCACACGCTAAGTGAGGCAAATTGAAGCGCTCCCAAAGGGCCTACACGAGCGGTGGGGCCGTCAGTGCTCAAGGTCAACTTGCACCACGAACAGCTCAAGAATTTTAGCTAAAAATAACGAAATGTGCTTTAAATGAGTGTAAAAATACGTCAGACAAACATAAAATAGATACTAACATCACATTCCACAAGGAAGTAACGCGTTTCAACTTGTATTTTTATACAAATATTCACTAAAACCGAAAATTAATTTCGTTGCCACAAGACACGAAAATGCCTACATGAATTTGATTTTTGCCTCACTTGTGACAGTTCGTTTGATATGAAACTATCATTCTATGCGTTATTATTCTAAGTGGAGATATTTGTCTTTAAGTACTATAACAGAGAACCTGGTAAATATTAATTTTCAACTGAAGCCCTATTCGTTTTTAAATTCACATTTAACCCAAATTTTGCAAATTACCCGGCAGTTTCGATTCTTGTACTAGGCAAATCTTTGTTACTAGTATGAGAATAGCGCGAATGGAAAGGGCAAAGAAATTTAACAATGATAGTTTGAGTTTACATTATTAATTATACGTAAAATGTTTAAGTTGCAGTGGAGCTCCTTGTGAAAGAGTTCGTCCAGGGAAATACTGCCACCTTGCCTATTGCATCCACCAAGAAGTAATGTGAGCATTACTGCGTTCCGGTTTTGAAGTGTAAGAGTGCTGGTGAAATTACAGACACTGCATTGTAAGTAGCGGGCGCAGTAGCAGATCTTTGTGATTTAAAGCCCGAGCGGCTCTGTAACAGTAATGGAAAGACGTGTCGGACAACACCAGAACCGCGACTTGTTCATCCCGTCTCATGATGTCATAAAAAAGTAAAGAAGCAGACAAAGCAACTTAACAGACTGATCTATTGATCGTATTTGTATAGGGCCAAAACTTCGGTACCGCTCTACACTAAAATCTCCACTCTTCTAAGGACACTAGTACCGGTACATATATTGTACCGGTTGAGTTAACGAAATCATGTGAATGAGAAAATAGAAAGGCAGTTGGCACCGTGCGATTTCAAATCTCTTTATTATTTCGTAATTTTACGAGAATAAAAGGAACGAAGAAGAGCATTGGGATGTGGAAAACTCTCAATGAGACAAAAGTAACTTGAAACCTTTCAACGAATTTAATTAGACTAACCAAAACGTATCAAACGAACAAGCAAAGATTCAACGGTTTGTGCTTGAGGGTTAAATTAATTAAGTTAGACAGATGTTTGCGGTCGGCAGACGAAGCATTCTTCAAAAGCGTCTGGTGAGAGAATCAAATAAAATTCACTCAAAGAGATAACCGACTATGATTACACAATGAAACTGCCAAAATCATTAGAAATAAATACTGTAGACATCGCGTAATGTTAATCACAAGGCTTTTTATACAGATTGAAAATATGTGTGTCGTCTATAACACAGTATTCTAATATTTATTTGATTAAATATCATCTTGTTATTATTGATACCTTAGAACATATAGGACGGGAGACGCTATTAGCGATATCTCTCGTACAAAATTTTCTGCCACTTTTAGAATGGGCGTAATACTACAAACAAACAGGCAATATTGAGTTGTGTCACCATGGCCTCACACGAACAAAAATCGACAATACTAGCTTATTATATATATTACAAATACACAGATAAAACACACATTCATGTCATGTCCGTACACAGAACAGGCCTATAAAAAAAATCGACTCAGTCGAATTTAACATCGATTCAAAAGTAGTGTTTATTGAGCGATAGATTTTTTTGATTGTACAAAACGTACTTCGACACAGGGAACGCCTCTAGTCCTATATGCTCTAAGGTTGATACAAAGATTGAAGAAACACAAAGAAAAATCCATCGATCCGATTGGACTCGATTCAGTTCAAAGGAATCAATAAACATATTCATATTTTTTGTCATAATACTCCACTACGAAATGAAACTATTTTTTCGCATCTTAAAATCGCCTAGGTATACTTGTTTTTTCAAACAAACCAACGTTTCGGACGGGTGACTGGACATGCTCACCCGTGATCATGGGACCTGTAAAAGGTTTAGGTCTAGAAAAACGCGATTTAGATCCGAAAAAATAGTTTCATTTCCTATATTATGTAACTAGCGCGAAAACCTAAGAACTCGATAAATATTCCACTAGTTTGTTATAATTATTGATACAAAAATCGAAGAAACCCAAAGAAAAATTCCTTCTGTTGGATTTCATATTTTCTTTTTTTTTGTATTAGACATACAAAAATAGTATAGGGTAGATCTTAGCACTTGCGAGGACTTCCTTCCTTTGTCCCATCCTCCTCCAACATGCGCACTTTTGCTGCTGTCGTCTCTTTCACTGGCCAATGAGTTAGCAACAAAAATAAGACGATAGTCTAACCTATGACACTGAACTGTGTGCATCATAAATAATGGCTAATTAGCGCGATTGTGGTTTTTAATAGTTTATTTTGTTCGCAATACACTGTACAGTGCTCAGTAGTGAACCTGAGGATTTTTCCGCCTGTGGCGGCCGTATCCAGGCGGAATTGCTGCCAGCGCAACGAAAGAAAAGGTGAGTGTGCATGTTCCATCATTTTTCCTGTTCTTTGACCTACTATATACTTGCTCCAGTCCTTATAGGAAACTACTTGCAAGTGCAGTTACTCGTAGTACAAGTACCTTTTAATGTAATTAACAAAAATCCAAAAAAATACAGTCCACTACTTATCGGTATTATACATCTTCATTTCGCACCACCTTCGAACCGACTGTTAGCGAAGTTTGTTGCCAACCGGATTGAAGGAATTTTTCTTTGTGTTCGATCTTTGTATCATATAACAAGGTACTATTATTATCTCATGAAAAAGGTATGTAATTTCAGTGTTCATGATGACTTGTATTTACCACTCTATCTATGGAACAAAACAATTACGTAAAATACAGTAGCTGAAATATTACCGGAAAGATTATTTTTGGTAATGTTTACATGAGATCTTATCAATAGATATCAGTAAATTGATGTCAAAAATTTATAGAGCGCTTGTGGACAGCAACGTGGGAAAAGACAACCCTCGAGGTACTTATCTATGGGATGGGTGACTGATGCGAGTGAAATGCCGAAGGAGGTGGCAGAGAGCATAGCGAGAAAAGTTCGTGGACTTTGCCAACACCAATGGAAGACAGGCATGATGGTATATATGTATATAACATCATTTACATACACCAACAAAAACACAAGTGGAACAAAAAATAAGATTGCAAAATAGTTACGGTTATATTTAAATAAATAAGAATTAGACTGCCTCGGTCGCCGAACGGTTGTCATGCTGGACTGCCACGCAGAGGTCCCGCGTTCGAGCCGGGAGAAATGTTTGTATGGCCTACATTTATTTTTCTTGTGAGTTTGAGTGTAATTTGTGGTTATTTATGTGTGTGTCCATGGCACCCGCGATACAGACTTTCCCTAGTGCGGGCTATGAGTGTATAAAATAAAAAAAAATTAAAATTATATTACCATCTTTTAACATCGGTCGAATACAACCTTACATTCCATCGTTATTAAAAAAAACGAAATTAAACAAAATGCTTTTTTTAGATTTTGTGATAAAGTAGAAACGGTTGAAAAATTTAAAATTGGCACTGCTTAACATAATTTAAATCAAATTTTTACGTAATTTACAAGAACGCAAAATCAACCTCGAACGACTCGTCAAACCTGTAGTAGACGGAAATTAAAAAAAAATTATGAAAAAATGACTGGCGAAAATTTTTTTAATGTAAAATTAAACTTGAAAATAAAAAAGTAAAATAACGGGCTAGATTTTTAAAACAACACCGCATTATTATGACGATCTTTCTAGTGTTCCGATAAATGCGTCGGTGTGTGTAAATTGTTTAAGCATAATTACTGTACCATAATCAACGAGGGATGAACAAATGAAAATTACACACCTGGGTGCATTTAGCCACAGAGAGATACCGAAGCGCAGGACCCAATTTGGCCAACTCGTAGAGTCCGAAGTCTGTCACTCCCGTGCAATCTGACACGCTCAGTTCCTTCAGGGCGCAGTACGACGGAATCCACCGAACGCCTGCATCTAAAAATAAAAACCAACAATGGCTGATAAGTTGCTTTGCCGACGAATGTCCGAATGTCCTTTAAGTTTAATGCGTTACGCAGACTGTAGACTGTTTATCAGACGGGCAGGTTTGATCGCCATGTTTTCATTAAGAAATTAAAATTATTAATAGTCTTAATTGCACATTAATTACAAGAAACAATATATTATCGACTGTATCCAATTTCTGAGATTCCAAATGTAAACTTCTTTGCGTTGGAATGCTTGGAAGAATCCTTGAAGGAGTGCATGCAAGCAGGGCTGCCTCTGTGGCCGAACGGTTACCATGCTGCACTGTCCCGCAGCGGGACTTCTGCCGTTCAATTCCCTTGTGATTTTGTGTTTTTCCCTTCACTATGAATGTGTGCGTAAAAGAAAGAAAAATGTGAGAAAGTTTATACTCCAGGGAGATCACATGAGGAGGAAAGCTCTTAGTGTGAAATTTGGCTTTAAATTTCGTTCTCTGACATAGGTCTGCGACTTTTATAGAATGCGCAGCTGGAATACACAAGGAGAGTATATACCAATGTAAATCGGGACTGTGAAAGAGTGAAAACTCTGTTTTATCGTAAAACGGAATTTATAGAGCCTAAATAGTTTCGTTATTCCACTTACTTTGATACTAGCTTTTACTGATCGTTTCACCGACAACTGAGTAATAATAATTTTATAAGCAATCATTTACGCCGTAAAGCTGACTGACTGCCTACCCATTTTGGTATCTACCTACAGAGATTAAAGACAGTACGTTTCGTCGTGAACCGGATGAATTTTCCGCGCCGCCACAGCCAGAAGAAATAGATAGATAGATAGATAGATAGAATTTTTTTTATTGTTAGCACCACATACAAAGAGAGATTACAGAACAAACATTAAACACATTAACAGGGTAACAATTGGCGGTGTTATCGCTTACAGCGATTTCTTCCAGACAACCTTAGGATGGAGAGAGACTAAACATGAATAAAAGCGGTGATCGTTATAAACCAGTGGTAGCTTAATGGTTTGACGTACGGTCTCTCAAGCAAAGGCCATGGGTTCTAATCCGAGATCAAGCCCCTGAGTTTTTCGGAATTTTGTGATTTTTTGTGAAATGACTCTACTAGTTGACAGTGTAGTTTTATTATGATTAATACAGAGGTCGAACACATAGAAAAACTTTTTAGACCCGATGGGACTTGAACCTGCGACCATACTGCACCGTAGTATTGCTCTTACCAACTGAGCTACGGATCAAGTTATCAAGACGATAGACGAAATTCTCCTACGTGTTTTTGTTAAAGATCTTTGTATCTTGGATCTTTCGGCATTGTAAACCGCTAGTGACATTTAGTGAGATATTTCTTAGAGCCTTAACAGCAGCCAGGACCTTTTTAGCTTGAGTTTTTCGAAGGAAAATATCAAAACCTGCACGTCAAGGAAGGTTCACAAAATGGGTTGACGACGTAATAAATGAATTGCCGGTACCTGTGACTAGAATACAGCGGCGCAGGTAGAGGTACTGAAGCGACGGACACGTATGCAGTAAGGCACATAGTCCCGCGTCAGTCACGTTGCCGCAATCGGTCAGGTCTATGTACTCCACCGGCGGCCGTCTCGTCGCCAGCCGTCCTTCCAGCCACGCCCATTCTGGCCAATCAACATTTGGACAGCCTGAAAAAAGCCACGAAGACACAATTATCACGTATTACCTATCACGCATACGCACAGGCCAGGTTATTTATTTATTTTGTACAACTTACACTTACAGTACTTATAACTAAACATGTAAGTCATAGTTACAGAAAAGGTTGAGTCGATCACCGGCCAAAGCGCGGAAGCGGATGTTAAAAATTTTGATTCAGTGTTACTCAACACGTCAATATCATTTGTTCTGCTTAAGGATTCAGTTACGGCTAGGGCGTCGAAGAATGGTGTCCGTCTTAGTGTCATTGTGCGGGTTAAATGTAAATTGAACAGAGGGTATTTGCGCTGACAAAAGATGTAACGTGAGATTGGTGGGATAAAAAAAGGAATTTGAGCCAATAGAGGAAGGTTAATTGTATTATCCTCTTATTAGGTTAAAAATATATTTTACAAGTGCCAGTTTTCGCCCGATCTCAAGCGACCTGTGCGATACCATGCCCAAAATAAAGGGTGCATGGTTACGCAACGGTGTATTGTTAAAAGGCCATAGCACTGATTCGGTTTTTTTCCTAGTCCAATTATAAAAAAAACGACCTCAAAAGTTTAAGGAATTACATCTAGTTGCCTGATGTGTTACTGAAATCTGTTACCGGAAAGTGTGCGACAGCGGATTCAACCCCTACATTGCCACCTTTGGAGGTAGAATATTTTCTTTAAATTTAAATGGGACTTATAATGATGTATTCTCTTTCCAACAAAAAAAAAAGAATCCGTAATAGCGTAACACACACACAAAAAAGTACCGTCGAATTGAGAACCTCCTCCCTTTTTGAAGTCGGTTAAAAAAATGTATTCGAATATTTGCAAACATCCTACAATCTCACAGTTACAAGCCGCACTTCATAAACCTCCAATTTCTAACCCTTCCCTCTTTACTTATTCAAGAATTCATAATGCGTAACGCTAAGGAGTTTCCAAGCCCCAGAACCAAAATTGTATTATATACAATGCGCATGTAAGAAGTCATGTAGAGAGCGCTTGCGTTCCAGTTCCATCCAGCGGGCCTTCACAAGACATCTTGCTTTTACAATGCCGAATTTTTCGCACCGTCAGCGGTACAGACGTCGTTTGGAATTTTACAATATGTATTCACTACTGGATCGTCGAACTACACTGGGGATTAAGATCCTTTCCAACATTATTAGAGGACTCATAAAATGTAAAGAGCTGGTGGAGCTTGTGGAGCCCATTCTCAGTCCCTTATAGTTATCCTAGATAAAAGGTACGAAAGATTTTTTTGTATTCCCCCATGTAGAACTAATCTAGGTCGGCACTCGCCAATTAACAAAATATTATTGGAATATAACTTCCTCACCGCTTCTGTCTATATTGACATTTTACAAACGTAAGTTGTTGAACCACTTCATGGAGAATCTTCTTAATACTGTCTTAGATGTACTAGTACTGTGCGTAAACTGGCCAATTTAATTAATTTTTTTTTAATATCTTTCTATGTTAATGTTAAGTAAATAGTATTATTGCTCATGTCAATTCTGTGCATATCTGTAATGGGTCATTACATCAGACCATGACCGGAAATACAATATACAATTTGTTGAATATAATAATGTAGGTACTACCTATTGATATGCCTAAATAAAAAAATAAATAAATAAATAAAGAAGAACGAATATCTTTATTTCGTAAGTATTCAAATTACACTTAAAACCGTCGGTCGCATCGATTAAAACCACTACTCATTGGAAGTACACCGTGCGTTCATATCATCGAAGGTCGTTGATTTTATAATAAGTTTTTATTATTACATTTTTAACATGAGCTTTGAACTTTCTTTTTTATAAATTTTCCGCGTTTTCTGGAATTTTATTACAAAAACGTAGTAGTCTGAGCATAGGAGTTCTAAGCTTATTTTCGTTTTAAGCTTATCACTGTTTTTCGGAAATAATACTACGTTACTTAGAATAATAACGCATTACATTTTCAAATATAGATTTGTTGTGACACATTTGGCATTATAAGCATTTTTAGTATTGGCACGTGCCCCATGAGAGAGTGTAATTAAATTGAGTCAAAATTAAACGGCTTCCACGTAGAAAATCATTCTGTTATTAATTCGCTATGAAGAAAACCATACCTATTCCCTAAAAATTGACTGGGCAGAATTAGATCTCTTACCAGTAAGGTCAATATGCCTTAGGTCGACGAGGTCAGCGATTATGGGTGCAAGGGCCCGTGCATCCATGCTGCTGGAGCCCGTTACTGCCAAGTGCGTCAGATTTCGAAAGGTCGCTACCAGTAGTTGAGCACCAGCTACTGTCACCTGCGAACGTGAACAATGGATTATTTTACTTATATCTACAATTTGTTAGTTATCTGGCGTTAGAACATATTATTCGTTCTATACCACTCGAGAGAGCAATATAATACTCTAGGGCTCAATTTCCCATTCAATATCGCAATCTCAATTTTCCGAAGAAAACCGATATTACTATATTGACTAGAATGTTGTGGAGAAAATACTTGGTCGGTGGGTACAAAATAGGTATCTTAAAAATTAATCCTTATTATAGGCTGGTAAAAAATAGGTATATACATTCATTCAACATAGCCCCGCAATAGGAAAACCCTGTGTCGCGGGTGCCATGGACACACACATAGACAACTACAAATTACACCCAAACTCACGAGAGAAATAAATATAAGCCATACAAACATTTCTCCCGGCCCGGGAATCGAATCTGGGACCTCTGCGTGGCAGTCCGGCATGGTAACCGTTCGGCCACGGAGGCAGTTAAAGGTGGGCCTTAACACATTCATTTTCAGCCAGGGGGCCTACTACAACCTCTTAAAACAATATTACTTTAACCTTACATTGTCGTACCGTAACGCGCTTAAAGTAAGTTTATTGTAATGTTAAAACTATGATGTTTTATTGGCAGCTTTGTGACTATTCATTTACTCAGTTCGTACTATGATGCAACTTGGTCTTATGTCAAATTTACCAATCTAAAGGTCGTATTCTAGAACTCTACTCAATGCTCAAGTCAGGATTGCAATTGAAACACGAGCACTGGAAATACGACCTTAAGTGCAGAGACTTGAGTATGATTTCGAGTGCTTTAAACCATACTCAAATCCTGACTTGAGCATTGAGTAGAGTTCTAGAATACGACCCTTAAAATAGTTACACGGATGCAATGAAAACAATATCATGTTCAGTTTTTTGATTTGTAATGATTAAAAATTAAATTGAACTTATTTATTCACATGTATCTCGTCAATATTTTGTTTACTTTTTATTTAATAGCACATAGCAAATAATTTTTCGTTAAATAAAATTACGCGATGTTTTATTTCGTAAAATTATAACAGCGACATCTATATGCCCCTTGGCGAAACTAACAGTTGGCACTAGACTATAGTGCCGAATTCATAACGTGATTATCAAGACTAAGCTAGTTTTATTTATTTTTCTTCATGAAAATGCGGAATTATTATTGAAAAAAACGTAATTTTAATAGATTTTATTAATAATACCTTACTTGGTTTACAGGTTCGGCATTGTACGAATATGAGTAACATTATAATAAACTTACTTTAAGCTTACATTGAAATAAAATTGTTTTTGGAAAGGTTATGGTAGGCCCCCAGCAGATCACCGGCTAAGTTTACTTGCTCGTCTCTCGTACAAATACTTTTGAGTTGGCAGACAACTTCGCATTGTATGAGTGATCCTGCTACAAGTTATTTACATGCATTATGCATGCCGAAATGAGTATTTGTGGTCTTACCGCGCAGCTCTTAGTTCGCCACTCCCTGACGGCGCTAACGCAAGGACCGGCGCGAGCGCCTGCGCAGCGTGCCGCAACCTCTAACGGGCCAGCTGCGCGCACGCGCCGCCACATCTCCGGCCGCGCCGTTAGTCTGGTCACTAGCCGCGCCCAACGCCGGCACACGCGCGACATTCGACATAAATCCGATACCTAAGGAACACTTCTAGTTTAAAACTACCCTCAAGGTTATCTCATATGCTTCATTTCATCCTTAAATGCTTTCAAAGAAACGTCTGCTAATTTTAAATCATTTCAGTTTGTGTGTCGATAAAGTTTAAATGACGGGATTTTGTACATTTGGTATTCTGCTAAAAGTTAAGAGGAATCGCTAATCATTGGTTAGCCATCAAGCTACTATTCAACTGCCGTTACAATTTTTGGGTTTGCAGCATCTGAACCCGGGATCGGTTTAAATTTGCAACGGAACCCGAATGAGCCGAATCCTTACCATCTATCGAAAATAAATTCGGGTTCAGACAATACAAATTTAATGTCATCTCTCAAGGTGCAACTGAACCCGGCGCGGGATGCGAATTAAATTTAATTATTTTTGACAAGCTCTCTTCAACTTCTTCAACAAGCTCTGTTGCAACTTTAAACCGAGTCCGTGTTCAGATGCTACAAACCCAAATTTTTTGGTATTCTGCTCTTCTATGGCACGCCGATAACATAGTCTACTAATATTATTTATATTTAATTTGAAATTGCTCTTTAAACGCAATAAAAATTAAGATTTGCATAGTAATTTCCATGGTAGTTTTAGTAAAACAACTTCGATCGTTAATAATTGAACGAATGAATATACTGTCGCTGCCATTCCATGTGACTCAACTGTCATTACAACTAGATTTTAACAGAATTGCAAATATGATCATAATTACAATGTAATCTCAACAGATTTCCAATGATTTCAAGAACAGAAATTTCAAAAAATTAGCTCTCGTACTATTTCAAATTTAATTTACTATTTAGGTAATTCCGCTCGACATCTCTAGCCAGGGATTGGTAGCTGAAAAATTAGCTGACTGGGCGACGAAATACTTTCTTAGATTTCTAACAGATGGCGCTACGGCTAAAACATCGTTGAAACCAAATACAAAAATCCGACAAGCAAGCACATAGATCAAATTCGTTCCGTGCCTTAGTTGGCATAGCGTCTGGCACGGTTTGCTAGAAGACGTCGGTTCGAATCGGCCTGATCGATGGAATTTTTCTAAGTGTTCGATCTTTATAGTAATAAAATTAACGCACCTCCAAACAAGATAATATCTTCAGCCACAAAGCATCGCTGAGCGTGCTCTCGCGTCTTCTCCTGGGAGGTCCACAGTCTGCGAGTGTGTGGTAGCCCTGGTCTAGGCTCAGCTCGCTTAGGTCCGCGGTGAGGGACAGCACAGGCTCGGGGGGCGGGGGAGGCCGTCGCCGCGCCCCGCCGCATACCCCCGGCCCTGAACAGCCGCCATTGGCCATGGCGCTGCCACCTGCAAATTAAGAAACTTTAACAAACAGTATCCGCAATCATGGAAGACAAAAGTCTTCGAGCAGTGATCACTTCAAATGGATCTCATATTTATTTATTCATTCAATTTACATTGCAAACTTACAGCTAAATAGCCAACACGCTTACATATCATAAACAGATAGTTATAAATGTACTTAATTAAGATATTACTATAACTGTTCTAATTCTAAAAATTAACAAGTCGCTCTACGTATCGCACCAGTCATGGAAGAATGGCATAAGTAGAGTTACGTTTACGTGTTTATTGCTCCATTAGATACAAAAAATATAAAACACATCCTCCCCAATTCTTGTAACTCTATCTACAATATTAGTTTATAGACTCCACTTATGCCATTCTTCCATGAGAGGCGCGATATAACGCCTCAACTCAACGCTATCAGCGAATATGTCAATGTGATCACACTGTGTGAGTACGTCCCCGATCAGGCGTATAGTTCGAACGGTAGACGCGTTCGCGGCATAAAAAACGTCACGCAACGAACTATGGAGCGAACAATGCTCGGCATTTCTCTACGTGATCGAATTAGAAATGAAGAAATCCGTAAAAGACGAAATTCATACGTAGCTTAAGGAATTAGCAAGTTGAAATGGCAATGGGCAGGGCACATATCTCGCAGAACTGACGACTGTTGGGGCAGAAAGGTTCTCGAATGAAGACCGGAGGGCGTTAAGTGGGACGGCCCCCTACGCTAGGTAACCGATGGATGCACGTCGCGTCCGACCGGCTAGTCTAAACATACTACCAATGCGTCTCTACCAATGCGCGCCATTTCAATCGGTCCTCAGCTTCTCGCATCCATCTGCTGCCAGCAGTCTTCAATCTTTCGCAAATCCTCACCTCCAATCCAGAGGGCGCCCTCCACTACGTTTGCCGAGCCGTGGCGTTCTCGGTTATCAGTTCTTCGACAGATAAGGCCAGCCTACTGCTTTATCACATTGAGTAAAATTATATCTAAATTCTCCTCAGCCCTAACAAAAGATACAGACATCCTAATAAAAAATACAACTAATGCATGTACACGCTTCACGAAATAAACAAGGTGTAAACTCATAAAACTGTTAACGGAAGTTGTAAATTAGAAAGCGTACTCAGTTACCCAAAACGTGTATTGATCTGAACTTGTTATTGCAGAAACTAGTGTTTAATTATTTATGAACATAAATGCAGTATTTTGAACTGATTCACTTTATTAAAAAGGCAACAACATTCTTGGATCCGAAGTTTATAGAGTTGTTAGAAGCGTCGTTGCATACTTAATCGAGGAACTTAAGCTACGTGAATAACATTGTTGTCAATTAAAAATCGACATCGGAAACCGCAGCTATTGTAAATTATGCCATGCATAATTTGACAACCTCCTGTTTTCATGGTGTCGCCATCTCTGAAGTCTCTGATTCAATTCCAGATCAGTGTAAAATAGAAATTGACTCGGGTGTGGGTGTTTGTGGTACCGTCACTGGTTTATTTTATTTTTTAACGCACACATATCCCCGTACTAAGGAAACCCTATACCGCGGATGCCATGGACGCATACATAGACAATCCAAAATTCCACCCAAACTCGAGAGAGAAATAAGCGTAGGCCATACAAATATTTCTCCTGGCCCAGGAATTGAATCCGGAACCTCTGCATGACTGTCCAGGATGGTAACCGTTCGGCTACGGAGACAGTCAATTTCCATAATACAAGTGCTTTAGCTACTTACTTTGTGATCAAAGCAACGTATGAGATATTGTCTAATATTTATTTATTTTATAAAATTTAATTCAATAGTCCAGCGAGGCCAAAGCTGCCACCCAGAACATTATTGATTGCACCAATATAATTAAAGGTTTCGTAGCGGCTCGTCTGTGACTCGTTGACCTTATTTTGCAATTAAATGCGTCTGTCTTCACAATGGACGTATAAATCAAACAAGATTGTCATTCGTGGCTCTGCGTCATGTCTCTTGTCCATTTAAGTGCTTCGATGTGGCACAGGTGTCATTAAAAGACAATAACAGGGAGTGTCTATTCGAAAACAAGTTATTTTTGCGTCAAGTTCTTTTTAGACTATACAAGCAGGACCTTCAGTTTGCCCGATCATGACATGAATTATAGTTAAGGCATTCATCTGATAATTACTAGACTAGCCCTTTGTGGTGCTTTTTATTCCGAGCTACGCCAAGATGGAACAAAAATAAAAGCAGTACAAAAGCATCCATTTATCCATAAATAATTAGTTGCCACGGTAGTATTTGGTGAATCAATCATATTTTTAGTAGCAGTAGAGTTGTGAAAGAGTTCGTCCAGGGCATTGCTCACATTACTGCGTTCCGGTTTGGAAGTGTAATCCTGTCATCCATTTAACTCCATCATTCAATGTGGGAGAACTCCTAAAACGTGGAACAGGAGTATTGCAGTTCTCTTTTTCAAAAAAGGAGACAAATATTTACTTAAAAACTACAGACCCATCTCACTCCTGAGCCATGTACATAAGCTGTTTTCTAATCGTCCTCCAGAAGATTCGACAAATTTCAGCCCCCGGAGCAGGCCGGGTTTCGACGGAGATACAGCACCATAGACCAAATACACACAGTGAGGCAGATTATACAGAAGTCAGAAGAGCATAATCGGCCCTTGGGTCTAGCCATTGTGGACTATGAGAAGGCTTTTGATTCCGTCGAAACCTGGGCTGTCTTGGAATCCTTACATCGGTGCCAAGTGGACTATCGTTACATAGAAGTGCTGAGATGTCATCCAATTACGCAGAGGAGTGCGACAGGGGGATGTCATAACCCCGAAACTGTTCACAGCCGCATTGGAGGATATGTTTAAGCCGCTGGACTGGAAAAGTATGGGCATTAACACAAAACGGCGAGTACATCTCACACTTGCGATTTGCAGATGACATAGTCCTGATGGCGGAGTCGCTGGAGGAACTACAGCAGATGCTGGACGGCCTAGCGTCCGCCTCGCGACGTATTGGTCTCGACATGAACTTGGACAAAGACCAAAGTCATGATCAATGATCACATGGTCCTGAGGCCAATAATCGTAAATGGCCAACTTCTTGAAGTTGTTTCCGAATACCTCGGGCAGATTCTGCAGTTAGGTAGAAACAATTTCGAGAAGGAAGCCAGGAGAAGGATTCGGCTTGGATGGGCAGTGTTTGGGAAGCTACGTCGAGTCTTCTCGTCATGTATACCACAAAGTATGAAAACAATGGTTTTCAAAAGTGCTTCCTGCCTGTAATCATTTACGGAGCCGACACGTGGACACTCACGATACGGCTAGTCCACCAATTTAAAGTCGCTCAGCGAGCTATGGAACCAATGAAAGAACCAACAACCGATGGAGAAAACGAGTTCTAGATTGGAGACCGCGACTCGGTAAACGTAGTGTAGGACGCTCTCTGGCCAGGTGGAGTGACGACCTGCGAAAGGTTGCTGACGGAAAGTGGATGCGACAACCTGAGGACCGGGCGAAATGGCGCGCATTGGGGGAGGCCTATGTCCAGCAGTGGACTGCGATAGGCTGATGATGATGATGTAATCAACAATTCACCGTCACCATGACACCGGAAAAGAAAATATAAAATGTACAAAGGAGTCCGTAACAGTCTCGTTGTCACCAAGAACTCAGAATGATGAGGGGATTTCATGGAAATCTACAATAACCGATAAGCAAACTTTTGAGATCGGTTTATTATTTTTATAATACCAGGTGACAACACTGATATTATAAAAAGAATAGAAAAAAACTCCTTAGGGAAATTGCGGTCATAAAATAAAATCTATTCAATGTATTTTTCTCTTCTATCGGAATGTTATGTAAATTCTCAGTAAAAGTAAATTATCTCTCATAAAACAGTTTTGTTCCTGTTTATTTAGGTATTCTAGTCGCCGAACCGTGTCTCGGCGCAATCTCATTGCCGACCGCTGTTTTAAGGCGTCACTACACTTATCGACACGGAGTAGCGTTGAGGCCAGTCGGAAAAAGTGTTAACTTAAGACTCAAATAACCTTTATTTCATAGGTAACTCACAAATTAACTTTAGTACATATTTAAAAAAGTAGATGGCGTTACTTGGATAAAATACCTATGAAGTATGGAATCTCGATAATTTAAGGTATATCATACTAAATAAGATGTAAAAAATCATAGCCAATGTAAAAAATATAAAAAAGAAACCTAAAACTATTTAAACAGCATTTTATGAATTTAAAGTTAAAATTTATTTTCACTCGCAAATCAAAAATTTCTCAATAAGTACTTTGTGATTTGTTAGTTTGCAATAAATTGTATAGATGGCATTTTTTTATATTTATTTTTGAAACTAAATAACGTTTTAGCACTATCTTTTACTTTAAAATATTAAATTTACAGTAGTTAGGCGATTTTATTATACTCGTAATATGTTACTGGACATACAATCAACTGCAACGCCTGAATAAGAGCAATAACCTTGACAAAAATGTAATAGCTGCCATTTGTTGGCCACACTCAAATACGATACTCTATTTTTTCTAATTTGCAACGAAAGAATATTAAAGATGACGTTACTCAGCTTTCACAATTAATTTAGTATTTAAACATTTTAATACATGTAAAGCAATTGTGTGTACCTAAGTTGATAAGTTATTTTTGACCGACTTCAAAAAAGGAGGAGATTCTCAATTCGACTACTTTTTTTTGTGTTACGCGCTTACTGCAACATTTGCAAAGCGCTTTCGATGAGTCTTGTTTTGTTGCAAAGCGGGTACCTCAGTGGTGGTCCTATTGCAATTTGAAAAAAATATTCCACCTCTAAAGGTGTCAAATTAGGAGATGAATTCGGTTTATTGGATGTCACCCACTTTTTTATATACTTATTGGGAATAAGTTTGAGAATTCGGTTCCGTGGCAAATAACTTTTATATTCCCTCGTACCACGTAAAATCTACTTTTAAAATACTAGTATAGTACGACCCTCT